CTCTCTCTCTCTCTCTCTCTCTCTCTCTCTCTCTCTCTCTCTCTCTCTCTCTCTCTCTCTCTCTCTTTCTCTCCCCGATCTTCTGCTCACCTGGCAAGCTGGAGCCCCACCCAATAAGCTTGTCAGCTTGTCGGAGAATAGGGTGAGGCCATTCTCTTTTTTACATACAAACAGAGAGAGAGAGGGAGGGAGGGAGGGAGGGAGAAGCGCAAGTGCCTCTGTCTCTCTCTGTCTGTCTGTCTGTCGCTCTCTCTCTCTCTCTCTCTCTCTCTCTCTCTGCAAATGGCAGAGGAGGCTGGGAGCCACAAGAGAAGGCTCAAAGAGCCACATGCGACTCCGGAGCCGCGGGTTGCCGACCTGTGCCCTAGATGCTAATTGAAAAAGAAGCTGAGGTTTAAGGGAAACAATAATAGTTTTCCATTGGAGTAAAACAGATTTTATCTTCTTGTTTCCTGTAGCCTTGACTTGGTTTAGGGGAGCAGTAATAAACAACAAAGATGATTTATGCTACCTAAGTTATAATGGATCCTCTTTATTGAGTAAAGAGACAAAGCAGCTTCTTTAAATATTGTAGAACTATAGGACAATTCCTTTTGTTTCTAATATTTACATTTATGTCTTCAAGGAGCTGCCTCTCTACTGTTCAGGAGGCTTACGATTTTTCTGGGACAATAAATTTGACCATGCAATGGTGGCATTTCTAGATTGTGTACAACAGTTCAAAGAGGAAGTAGAAAAGGGCGAGACCCGTTTCTGTTTACCTTACAGGTAAATGTCAATGGTGCAGAAAGAAGATTTCTTTTACACTTTTTAATTCAGTCTGGTTAATCTAAATTAAGTATCACTTGCTAAACTATTATATAATTAGATGCTATTAATTTTAAGTTATCTCATGTATACCAGAAGTTTTGCTTTTCTGTTTTAACACAATATAACAACAGCTGGATTACTATGGTTCTTCAAAGTACTAATGCACTAATAAACTACCACATTTAGTGATCTTATTATGAGATTGAGTCAGATAGCTGACTACTATTGGAATAGTACTGGAATAGTATTTTGTTTTGATATTGGTAACAATTTTTCAAGCACTACAAATATAACTGCTCTTGATACTGTGTTTCTCACATTTCTGGCTGCTTTTATCAAGTTATTATTTTAAAGCAAATATTTATATACTTTCTTTTAAAATATCTTTTTAGACTTACTGTTAAAAATATGTATCCCACTGAATTATTAAGTTTCATTTTTTAGTCTGCTTTGTCATTTGGTTATTGAAATATTGTGTCAAAGAAAATTGAGGTACTCTCTCAGCAAGATCTTTAACATAAAACTTATATCTAAAGATTAATAAATCAAAGCATTACAAAAGCAGAGTGGGATTTTTTAGAAAATAATGTAGTGCTAATCTGAGAAAAAATGCCAGCTGTTTTAATGCCTAATAGGATCTGTTTTTCCAATACAGAATGGATGTGGAAAAGGGCAAGATTGAAGATACAGGTGGAAATGGTGGTTCCTATTCCATTAAAACCCAGTTTAACTCAGAGGAACAGTGGACAAAAGCACTCAAGTTCATGCTGACAAATCTGAAATGGGGTCTAGCTTGGGTTTCTTCGCAATTCTATAATAAATAACGATTATGAAGGAAAAAGAATGCAGCATGATGCAATGATGCCAAAAGTAGGACTTGGGACTGTGACAGCCATACATTATTTTAGAAGAAGAAAAATCTGCAGCCTTGACATTTCATTATAAAATGGAATGAAGGAAAAAACTTCATAGCATAATTTAGATAACATGTACATAAAGTATACGACTGAGTTTAGGAAAAAAATCATGTATTTTCTCCAATAGGACAGAAAAAGGAGACAATATTAGTGGCAGAGACTCTGTTTAATTATGAGATTATTGCAGCTTCATTATTTCACTAAACTAGAAATAAAAAATAAATACAGATTTTTTTCAGAATAATTTATCAGTTCCAAAGAGAGTAACACATTAATGTATTTTTTTCTCAAATACATTTATTGGTCTGTGCTAAAGCTTCTGCTTTTACATGTAACATTTATCTCCATAATCCATACATCTAATATCTGTCTTAAGCTGCTACAGTTCTTTGTGTTGTAATGGTTATGCAAGACTGCTGTAAATGGTTTTGATGCCCTAGTCATGGACAAAATACCTTTCTTTAAATCCTATTCCCTCTTAAAGGATTAAGATAACAAAATCTGTGATATCCATTAAACTATTGAAGCGCATGAGAATGTGCAGTGCCTTTTTAGTAGTTATCTGCTTACGAATCCTATGCCTATGTCAAACACTTTATAGTACATTTCTTGATAAGCAGGCTCTTCAGCTTGAGAAGAACAAAGGATTTCTAACAACTATCCACTGTATTACCTAGACTATGCTTCAGAATTGCATAGACTACCTCAGTAATGCTCTGAAGACTGATGCCTGTGGTGCTATTGAGGTAGTCCACAACCTTTCAAAAGAAAGAAAGAAAAAGTTTTAGATCGATAAGCCATATCCTATAGCACTAGGGTTCCTAGGGGTAGCAAGCCAAATTTAGGAGAGAAAAAATTAATACATGAATGGACTAAAAGATAAGCTATATGTACCTGATTCCAGTCTTCATGCTTTAGCAGGAAAGAACTTGCACCAATTACTCCTACAGCTAGTAGCATAAGGTCTTCCTTTACAGACACAAATTTGGCTCTGTGAAATTAAAATGACAAAATGATGTATTCCAGCAATAGTAATAATGCTGTACATTTGGACGTACAAAGCTATTTAGATATATCAAAGCAATATGATTAAACAGTTGATTATTTTTAAAGCATTTCTCTATTATATTCACTCGTTTTTTTAAATTAAAAGATATGTTTTGAAGACCTCTGGTTATGATGGCTAGAATGCTTATAATATTAAACTAAAACAGCACATTTCTCACAAAACCATTGTATTGGTGGAGCCCACTTTTGGTAAATAGGTATTGCTTACACACCGAAAGGAGGAGCTATTTTTCAACAAAACAACATATTCTGAGATGACGGTTGCTGCATTAAGACGGACTATCCATACAATAAAACAGATATTTTTCTCTACATTTCTCCTATTAGATTGAGTATATTAAGCAACAGTACTAAGTCATGCTGTATTTTGCTGGCAGATAACAATGAAGAGGTGAATTTAATGTTTTCATTTCTCAAAAAATAAACATTAACAAAATTCAATGCTGTGTATAATTAAATAATAGCAAAATGCCAGTAACCCTACCAGCATGGGAAAAAAATTGTATTTTTTCAATTTCAGTGTATTGTGCTAGTGGGTTGGAAATGTAACATTTGAGAACAAAAGGATTTCTTAAGAAAATATGCAAATTTGATAAATCAATTAAACATTTCTGTAATTACAAAAAACGACCCCAGATTCTAAAAGGTTATTTGAAATGTTAAAAGGCAAGTAAAAGGATCCAAAATGAAACAGTTTCTATCTTTAATGCAGGGGTCCCCAACTTTTGGGGCACCAGGGACGGTTCCGTGGAGAGAAGCTTTTCTGCGGACCAGAGGGGGGGGCGTGGTTTCACATGCTGCCTGCATCCTGGGGATGGGCCTTCACTTGCTTGTGTGGCCCAGTTTTTGGCATGCTGCAGCCCGGTGCCAGTCCATGGACCAGAGGTTGAGGACCCTTGTTCTAATGAACCCATATAGCATCTCCAAGAGGATCATGCATCATTTTAATAAAATATTTTCTATAAAAAAATAAACCAATATTCATCCATTGGCTGTAACATGAATTGACCAACTATCTTGTCAGTCAAACATGACATCTTGGACTGGGGGGGGATGACTTGCCCCAAGTTATCCAGTCAGCTTTCATGCCTAAAATGAGACTAAATCCTGGTTTCTATCCTGGAGCCTTAAAACACTAAACCAAATTGGTTCTCTGGCTATATATCAGCTGCTCTGAGAATATTTATTCTGAAGGGTAGCACAGAAAAGATTAAAACAAGATATCTAGAGGAAAATATTTATTCAGTTTAATAACTTTTTAAGCCATTTTTCAATTCTGCTTTTATTTTAGGTTACAATAGCTCATCCCAGTGGTCTCTAAAAGAAAGTAATTATATCTTTCCAGTAACTCCTCCAGTTCATACAGTATGCAGTAATTTATCATAGGGAATACTTAGGTATATTTAAGGTTCAAAACTATCCCATCCAAGTAAAGGATTGCCTTAAGCTGAAAATTGCCCATATTTAAACATTCTGCAGAAGGAAACATTAATATGATCCAAAGAAAAATCAGAACACTGTTGACATATTGAAGCTAGAGTCTATCAGGACAGCATTGTTTACAAACATATCTCTGTTAAAATCTGCTAGTGGAAAACTAACCCAGATTTTCTTGATCTATAAAGTTCTTTCTCCATTTGTTCTATTTCAATATGCACTATTTCAATTTTTGATTTTCCTTTACAGCACATTTATTGTTAGCTTGCTTCTTTCCAGAACTTACAGTTGAAGTTCACTTGGCGAGGAGTTTTCTATTGAAGACTTCAGCAAGGTATCATAAATATTGTTCCGCAATAGATATGATAAACTCAATAAATGTTTGCACATTTCATGCAGCTCTTTTGTCGGAAGTAAATAGCCATTGTATCCTAGTATTGGGGGGGAAAGCCCAAGAATTAAATGTTGCGGGGAAGAGAGTGGGTTTTTATACTTGTCATTTAGCTAGCTCCATATCCAAGGCAGGGCTAGATCTTACCATTTCCTGCTTTCTAGCCTTGTGCCTTAACCACTACACCAAATTGTTTCTCATATTATAAGAACCCACAAAACTTCATTAAATCTGTGATGCCTGTGATGAAGATTGAGAATGATCACTGATCCACAGTCCATTTTATTAAAACATTTTGCTTTCTAACCACCAAGAGCAAAAAAACAAAACAAAAAGACAAAGAAATAATAGTATTCCTAAGAACAACAGGTAACAACAAGAAGAAATTGTGTGGTCACTGCCTTCCCCTGAGATGTTCTGTAAATTGTCAGTTTATCCTACTGCTCTAGGATGTGAACTAAAGATTTTTTTTAAGAGTAGCAAAAGTTGACTAAGTGCTGCCACCTGCTGTAGAACCTAAGCAATAAAAAGATTACCAATTTAAGTGTGGCTGCTCAGCTAGGAGGGATAGATAAATCAGCATCATTATCAATATTTTTACTAGCAGAGCAAAACTGTTTCATATAGACTACATTGTTTCCTGGGTTTACCTAAAACTTCTAGGAGAACTTCAACATAGGCAAGTGGAACTGGAACATTGACTTGAAAATGCAGAGCTTTCAAAATAGCTAGTTCTGATTCTAATAATTCTTCTGTAGTATACGAGAAACCCAAAGATTTCAGAAACTTCAGAACCATTTTGTTATTAACAATCTGTGTAAAAGAAATAAGAACATTACATCCAAAATGTCAATTTTGTTTCACCACAGTGTACTATGTTTTGTTGGAATGGTTTGTGTTGTATATATTGCTGTTTTTAACCCAACATGAATCATAATGATACTAATAAGCTGCCCAATTAATTAACATTTTTGTTTATACTGCTAATAGTTTATATTTATTTATATATCAAATTTCTTAACCATCCCATCTCCCTCATAGTTGATAGTTCATCACTGTGAAAGCCAACTCCATATACAGTATTTCATACATCTCATTCACTACTAACTCAAGCTATTTATGAAAAGACACAATTGCTTAGCAATTTATAACCTCTATTTTCATCTTCTGATCAGATTGTCTAGCAAGAAACAATTATATTTTTCCCAAATGCACATGTGCACTTAACTGTCCTTTTTCTGTCATTGAGAAAGTCCACAAGATGGCTCAGAAATAAAACAATGAATGAAAGTTATATAATACTGTATTGTTCAAGGCAAATCTTGAATCTCCTTACTTTATAATGAAACGAAAGCTTGCTGGCAAGTTGAATGCAAGAGACTAAACGCAGTATATATGTGTCCTCCATTTGCACTTTCAGTGAGGCCCAGCTGCTATCTTCTTCCTTTTCTGGAGTCAAATTAGAGAACTCTTCTAAAAATTTGAGCATATATCTAAAAATACAAAAACATAAATAATATATCTAGAGAAAAGAACAGGTACGTACTTGAAATTTGCTTTACAGTTTACAGAAACAAATATCAAAACCATGTAACCACACTGATTTTACGGAGCAAAAGCAATTCCAAAGACCATGAAACAATGTATGAAACAGGTAGAATAAGCTTTAGGACAGCGATTCTCAACCTGTGGGTCGCGACCCCTTTGGGGGTCGAACAATCCTTTCACAGGGGTTGCCTAAGACCATCGGAAAACATATATTTCCGATGGTCTTAGGAACCAAGACACCACTCCTCTATCTGTCTCCGCACAGCTTCGAGCTGGGGGCCATTGCAGTGCCGGATTCGTTTCCGTCAAGCATCTCCTAAGGGAGGCTGCGCTGCTTCGCGGCCCTTTCCGCGGAGGAGGCTGAACTAAGCTCTGCCGGCGCTGTCGCCCTCTTGGCTCTCTCTCTCTCTCTCACCCTCTCCCCGCCTGGGCGCTTCTCCAACCAGGCTGGGCGGAGCGGCCTTCCTGCCCCCCCCTCCCCAGCCAGCTGGAGCTGGGCAGGCCGGCGACCTTCGGAAGTGAGGCGAGGACAGGCGAGGCGCACTGAGCCCCGGGCGCAGCGGGTGAGTGGGCGGCGTCGGTGCGCGCTTAGAGAGCCCTTAGGGTTGGGGGTCACCACAACATGAGGAACTGTATTAACTGTATTAGGAAGGTTGAGAACCACTGCTTTAGGACCTTCACCAGCCCCTCAAGAATCAAATTGTCCATTAGGTCTTTCCTGAGTTTTCTCATGGTGCAGTATGTTCACAACTGGATATTAACTGGGATGGCACAAAATGTTGTTTAAATACTTCAGACTTATTCTCAGGCAAGGTTTTATAAAAAATGAGCTGGGAAAGAAGTATGCAAGGAATGAAAAACAACCCTTGTAATGTAAACTGTATCTGAGATTGTATTTGTAGACTGAATGCATTTTTAGTGGTGTCCACAAATTCCGCCTCTGACTGACTTTGCATTTTGCTACTCAAAGCTAGTCTGTCATTAAAGACCTTTGGATTTGTGACTGTAGCTAAGGTATTCCCCTCAAACAATCCTTTTAGATTTTAAAAAGGAAGAGTATATATTTTAGTTTTTTTTATTTATAGGTTAAAGCTGTGACGTGCCTGTTCTAACTACATCTACAAAACAATAAAAGTATTACAGGAAATAAAACTGGAACTTTAAGCACATCTACTTAGAGGTAAAGCCTACAAAATGAATATTGTTTACTCTGTGGTAAGCATATAAATTAATAGTTTTCTCCTAATATCAGTCAAAGAGAAAATAAAGAAATACCTTTCAAATATCTCTATTGCTTGATAGGTGGCTGATTCACTTAGATTCCACTTCCCAGCTAAAAGAAAAACAAATTCTGACAGAGACACAAGAGAAAATGATCATAGTTAGAAGCTCTTCTAAAATGTCTTTCAGAATTTCATCTGTTTAGAGAACCTGTTAAGGCCAATTTTTACCTACTATCTGTGTGTCTTTGAAGCAGCCTGCCTCATCGCACAGCTCACTCAAATACTGCTCATTCTCCATAGCCATGTGAAGGAAAGTATCTTGGATAATTCCAGGAGTCACTACTCCAAAGATAGGTTCTGAATACTGGTATCGGGCTGATACTTGTGCAGGTAAGCCCATCCTAACAGTATTGTTAATACTCTGAAAAAATAGTAATTTATCATTAAACTACAATAATTGATTTCTTCCAACAGTTCGTTCCAACTGTTTCTATTAATAAGGAATATAATGATGGTTAAAACAGAGTATAGTGGCACCTATCATATTAAGATATTATATATTGATGTTTTCATGTTAATGCTGTTTGTGTAAATTTAGATTTAACAGTATTGAAGTGGCATTAAAGCATCAAAAATAAAAACAATTCAATATAAACTTTAAGAAAGGCCCAAGAAGGTAATTTAAAATGAAAAGATAAAACTAGTCTGATATAAAATTGTGCTCTCTTTGAAGTTCCAGTTACTAATATTCCTAAATGCATCTATGATTGAAGATTGAGTTTGACTCTGTTGCTCCTGAAGATGTGGACAGGGTCCTGGGGAGACTGAATGCAACCACATGTTTATTAGATCCGTGTCCCTCCTGGCTGGTACTGGCAGCCAGGGAGGGGACACGAGCCTGGTTCCAGGGAATTGTTAACGCCTCTTTGCAGGAGGGAGTCTTCCCGGCAACCCTAAAGGAAGCCGTGGTGAGGC